TTTTGGAAGCAAGGTTTCCAGAACCTTGAGGGGGCTAGCTCTTGTTAGGAAAAGGTCGTTTATTGCTGTCTAATAAAACCTAAGTCATGAGACCCTTCAGATGGATATCCGTGGGTCATATGCTTGGGGAATGAGTGCCAACAGGTATCATGGGGCGGTGGGGGGGGGCGGTTATAGATAAAGGAAGTTTCCAAAGCAATTTTTAAAGTTTTTTGGTTTTTTTTTAAAAGATTTTATTTATCTTTTGAAGGAGAGAGAGACAGAAAGGGAACACAAGCAGGGGGAGTGGGAGAGGGAGAAGCAGGCTTCCCGCTGAGCAGGGAGCCCGATGCGGGGCTCGATCCCAGGACCCTGGGATCATGACCCGAGCTGAAGGCAGATGCTTAAACGACTGAGCCACCCAGGCACCCCCCCCAAAGCAATTGTTATATGTTAAAGTAGACTTTTACAGGATCCTGGGGGTCGGGCTAAGCTTGCCTTTTCCCCTTAGCCAAGTGTTACCATCCAGGCAGTTGAGTCCCTAGAGGAATGTCACCCTGCCTGTTTCAAGGACTTGTCAGTGGGCTGTAGGTAGTAAGGAAAAGTAATAATTTTACTCCTGCCTTTCTTTCCCACATCATTAGGCACTGATAACAATTTGTTTCCTTATCGCTAATGTTACCTTTCATTGGCTTGGGGCTCTCTGCCAGATTTCTCCCCTTTATTGTTCATATCTCCCCAACCCCTTATCATTTGTAAGGATCTTAGATGGATTTACTGAGCGATGTGCAGAAGCCATCCCGTTTAAACTGGAGACTTCTCCTGAGTTTGTGTTCACTTGTAGTTTCTGCTGAGGAGAACAAAGGCAAAAGAAATGTGGATAAAGTGAAATTTCCTTACTACTTGCAGCTAGAGACAAAAAGCAACCTTAGCCTGACAAAAGCCAGACCTTATGAAAATCCCTTTTCAAATTTCATCTCTACCCTCACGGACTTAAAAGTACACAAGCAGTGGTTCCTCATAATCACACTGCAGCTCTTCCTGCCCACAGGCCCTGTCCCCAGGCTTTACTAAAAACAGGTTTCTGCAGGACATCTTAGTGGCTCATTGGGTTAAGTCAAGTCTTGATCTCAGCTTAGCTCTTGATCTCGGGGTCTTTTTTTTTTTTTTTTTAAGATTTTATTTATTTATTTGAGAGAGAGAGCGAGAATGAGACAGAGAGCACGAGAGGAAAGAGGGTCAGAGGGAGAAGCAGACTCCCCACTGAGCAGGGAGCCCGATGCGGGACTCGATCCCGGGACTCCAGGATCATGACCTGAGCCGAAGGCAGTTGCTTAACCAACTGAGCCACCCAGGCGCCCTTGATCTCAGGGTCTTGAGTTCAAACTTCACGTTGGGCTCCACCCTGGGCATAGAGCCTACTTAAACAACAAAAAAACAGATTTTGCACTGAAGATAACTCAAAAATTCTTTCTTGACCTTTGGTTCCTGGCTCATATCACATCAGTTTCCACTGGACAATGAAGACTCTACCTTTGTGTACCAGAGAGTGACTTCTGGGACTGGAGGTTCTAAATCAGCCAGACCTCTATCCCATAGGTTTTTATTTTGCTCCACACTCATGTCACAAACATACTTTTTTTTTTTTTAATTAAAGATTTTATTTATTTGACAGTGAGAGAGAGAGAGCCCAAGCAGGGGGTGTGGCAGGCAGAGGGAGAGGGAGAAGCAGGCCTCCCGCCGAGCAGGGAGCCCAATGTGGGGCTCGATCCCAGGACCCTGGGATCATGACCTGAGTCGAAGGCAGACACTTAACGACTGAGCCGCTCAGGCACCCCACAAACATACTCTTCTATTTACTTCTTTGTATTTTCAGAAAAAGAAAACAAGAATCACATCATTAACATGTTTTGAGTGTCTTAAAATCCTGAAATAATACAGAGCACAAACGATGATTGAAACGAAAGTTTTCAGTGAAATACTATGGTGTGGGGTTACTGAGCACAACAGTCAAGAAGGAAATCTTGATACCTTTAAAGGCACCAGTTAGTAATTTTATTTAAGAAGCATAGGGACAGGACCTGTGGGCAGAAAAAGATGCACTTCAGCCTGCAGGAAGCTGGTAGTTACATGCAGAGTGTGCAAGGGGCTGGGGACATGCAGGGAGTATTAGATCATAAGTGTTTCTTTGAATTTCTACTCGTAAAACTACTTTTGCAAGATTTCTCTGGTGCTTATTCAGTTCGATACTATCGGTGAGAGGTACAGGCAGTCAAAAGACCCTTTAAGAACGTAGCAACCAGCCCTTATTTGATCCTTACTAGAAGTATGCAGGCTCTAGGTGGGCCTTCTGGCTAACTGAATCTTTTTCTGCTTCTGGCCCTCATCACAGTCGACTTAGAAATAATACCTCTTTTATTTGTATCATTCAATGTGTTTGTGTTGAGAGTGAATAAAAGACAGAAGCATCATTATCCAGAAAGAGCTTTATAAGTGTCATGTCTTTGAAATGTTTCTTAAATTAGTCACCATGACAGTTCTGTACTCTGTAACTTTTAATGTGTATATCTCTACTTTCTGAATGTATGGATGTGTGCATGAAACGTAAAAAAGTACATGAGTGTTGTGTAGATCCCTTCTTGTTTCCTTCATTCTTCTCAGGTTTGACACCTGCTATGAATATGCTTTAGAGAGTCCTCTCTGTATATTGACCTGCATTTCATTTTAGATCGACTCTAGGTCAGACAACCAGCGTGAAAACCTGATCCCTTCTGATCCATTACTGGTTGTTTGACAAAATCTTCTCATAATAATAGAAGAACAATGTGTTTGCTCTCTTAGAGTAATGTTTCATATTTTCTTTGAATTTATGAAAAACTGTTAGATGCTCTCTTGTAAGGAAGAAATGCTGAGAAAGGACTGTTGTTGGCTTTCTTACTATTCCAGTAGAACCTGTAATTGTTAGGGCCCCTGGGCGGCTCAGTCGTTAAGCATCTGCCTTCGGCTCAGGTCATGATCCCAGGGTCCTGAGATCGAGCCCCGCATCGGGCTCCCTGCTCAGGGGGAAGCCTGCTTCTCCCTCTCCCACTCCCCCTGCTTGTGTTCCCTCCCTCGCTGTGTCTCTCTCTGTCAAATAAACAAATAAAATCTTTAAAAAAAAGAACCTGTAATTGTTATAAAACCCACTCAGTTCCAAGTCTTCCAAGAATTCTTGCCTTGGAGTTCTACCTCTATGTTATTCAAAAATGTTTACCCATAGGCTAATGCCTTGTTAGAAATACAGATTCCCGTTTAACCTCAGGACTCCTGAACAGAATCTGCATTTTAACAAGATCTCCAGGGCGCCTGGGTGGCTCAGTTGGTTAAGCGACTGCCTTCGGCTCAGGTCATGATTCTGGAGTCACCGGATCGAGTCCCGCATCGGGCTCCCTGCTCGGCAGGGAGTCTGCTTCTCCCTCTGACCCTCTTCCCTCTCGTGCTCTCTATCTCTCATTCTCTCTCTCTCAAATAAATAAATAAATAAATAAAATCTTAAAAAAAAAAAAAAACAAACCAAGATCTCCAGTGCACTGTTGTGAAATTCTCATTCACTTTAGAATTTGATCAGTACATTTGTAACCCACTAAAACATTCCACCTAAGAAGTAGACACAACTAGGGGCACCTGGGTGGCTCACTTGGTTCAATGTCTGCCTTTGGCTCAGGTCATGATCTCCAGGGTCCTGGGATCGAGTTCCGAGTTGGGCTCCCTGCTCAGTGGGGAGCCTGCTTCTCCCTCTCCCTCTGCCCCTCCCACCCTGCTTGCGCTCGCGCTCTCTTTCTCTCAAATAAATAAATAAAATCTTTAAAAAGAAAAAGACATAACCCATAATGTATGATATAAATACAGTACTCAATAATTTGTTATGCCTCTGTTGACGCCTTCATTTTACAAATGATCTTGGATAAATACATAGTATTTATAACAGTTTTCTGGATCATATGCTATCCTCTTACGTAGAGAACACGTTAGAGCATGTTACTGTGTTAAAAATTATCTTAATGCATCAAGGAGGAAACTCACCTAAGCCAGAACCAGTTCTAATATAACTCAGCTCGAAGGAGTTCACTCCTTGGGGAATCACAGAAACTACAACAGGTAGGAATCTTGATTTGCAGCATGTAAGGAGATCCCGGGGAATAACTTCCAAAGCAGACACAGTGCAAGGGGGAATGATTTCCTATTGGGGTTAGGGTGGAGATATATATATATATATATATATTTTTTTTTTTTTTTTTTTTTAAAGATTTTATTTATTTGACAGAGAGCGAGAGCAGAAACACAAGCAGGGGGAGTGGGAGAGGGAGAAGCAGGCTTCCCGCCGAGCAGGGAGCCCGATGTGGGACTCGATCCCAGGGTCCTGGGATCATGACCTGAACCGAAGGCAGACACTTAACAAGTGAGCCACCTAGGCGCCCCTAGGGTGGAGTGGATATTTAAAAAGTGGAGGCTTGTCCTATGGAGAGCTGGGCATAAGGTGGCACAAGTGCCTCAAGAACACACTTCTCCAGGCGCCTGGGTGGCTCAGTCGTTAAGCGTCTGCCTTTGGCTCAGGTCATGATCCCGGCGTCCCGGGATCAAGCCCCCCATCGGGCTCCCTGCTCCACGAGAAGCCCGCTCCCCCTGCTTGTGTTTCCTCTCTCGTTGTGTCTCTGTCCAATAAATACATAAAATCTTTAAAAAAGAAAAGAAAAGACACTTCACTACGTGCTTTGTGTTAATGTAAATGAGCTTTGTGCTCCTCCTCCTCGGGTGGAGATTTTAATATTATAATGAGATAAAAGGAAGTGTAGATCATTCCATGGGTTACTCCGTGGTCCATCTGCTTAGGGGTCATTGGGAGTGAAGCTCAAACTGGGCCAGCCCAAGCTCTTCCTCAGAGCAGTCAGTACCCTTTGTTGGATAGTTTCTCTTTCCCTGGAAGGACACTGCACATGTTTGAATAAAGTAAAAGATAAGGTGGAAACAAGAGGTTAAGTAAAATGTGGGACAAAGGTCGGAGGGTACAAGCAGGTGAGCAGGGAAGGTCAGGTCTTGGGTCTAGCTGGTGACATTAACTCCCTCTTTCATCTTAGGGACCATTGTGAACTCTGCCAGTGGCCACTTGGTAACTGTGGTATTTATTGCAGGGACTGCTGACATTCAGGGATGTGGCCATAGAATTCTCTCAGGAGGAGTGGGGATGCCTGAACCACACTCAGCGGGAATTGTACAGGGATGTGATGTTAGAGAACTACGGACACCTCCTCTTCCTGGGTGAGAATAACTCCTTCCAGATTTCCCAAACCACACTCAGGGTTTTGTTCCTTCCTTTGTCTTTGTTTTGTTTAAGATTTTATTTATTTACTTGAGAGAGAGAGAGAGAGAGCATGAGGCGGAGCGTGAGCAGGGGGAGGGGGCAGAGAAGTGAGAGAGAAGCAGACTCCCCACTGAGCAGGGAACCTGATGTGGGGCTCGATCCCAGGACCCCGGGACCATGACCTGAGCCGAAGGCAGACACTTACCTGACGGAGCCACCCAGACGCCGCTCGTTCCTTCCTTTGAAGACTGTCTCTTGGAAGATTCCACTTTGGATGAATGCAATTCAGATCCAGGCAGTAAGGGAAATAAGTAGGGGTTTGTAGATGTAGAGAAAAATCTTCCTGATGCTTCCTTTTCAGCGTTAGCTTCTCCTTCCTTAAGGGAACATCATCATTTCTGTAGATGAGTGGCAATTCTAAACAGTGAGTGGCAAAAAATGGTACTGCCCGCATCTTCTAATACTCCAATTTCCACTCACTATTGTCTAGTACTTGGAGGTGGAGGTCAGGATGTGAACATTTGAGATCTCTCCTGTGTCTTCTAAAGGGGCTGTTGATCAAGAGCATTTGGGAAGTCATTTTTAGATGCTACAAATGTCCTGTCTTCTCTACTGAGCATGATATTGGATTGAAAATCTCCAGCAATACTCCTATTCATTCCTTTTTTTCTAATAACCAGGTCTCATTGTGTCAAAGCCAGACCTGGTCTCCTTTTTGGAGCAAAAGAAGGAGCCTTGGGATGTGAAGAGAAAGAAGACAGTAGCCATCCACCGAGGTAGGTGGGAATGAATGAAGCAGAGGACAGAGGTGAGGTCCAAATGTGAAGCAGGAAGATTGACCTTAAAGTGTGTTTTAAGTAGCTCTCCTTGAATGGAAATAATCTTGAGAAACCTATTTTTCTTCCTATCACAAAGAGATACCTGCTAGTCAACATTATCAAGCTCTTACATTCTCTAGGGATTCTCCTTCAGCTCCAGTGATGGTCCATCACATCCACAGGGAGGGCCAGGGGACTCTCCTGGGAGCAGGAGGGCCTCCATAATCTGAGAGCTTCTCCATAGCTGTGAGGGCCCTGGGAAAATCTCCATAAATCTGAGGACCTTAGTGTTAAGCCCTTTGTAAGTTCTGTTTGCCTCGTGTGAAAAGTGTCAGGGCGGTTGTAATCATATTGGGGTTTGGTGTAGAAATCCCAGGAACACTGATGACAGACATCCCATGTTTTCTGTTTTATGCTTTCCAATGTTATGGAAGGTTTAATTTTAATTGTACAAAATTGAGACTCAGTAATTTATCAGATAACAAAGCACTTCCCTAAAATAGGAAAATCTAATCCTTTATTTTACTTCAAAAGTGAATTTTTTTCTGTGAACTGAAATTAGAAATTATCACTGTGTTTTCCATTCCTCAATGGTGAAATAATGTAACGTATCTGTTTGTATCCTAGAATTCCTACCTGAATTAATGCCACAGGGGAACTAGAAGATTTAGACCTTACAACCTTAGAACTCACATCCTATATTAAATTCTCAATTGTTACCTTATTTCTTAGTAATTGGATCATTTTATAATTTTGTATTCTTTTGACTTTGTCATGTGTTGTTTTCACTTTTTTATTAGTCATATGAGAGATTCATCTCTCATGTTTCAGATCAACATTTCTGATACGACATGGGCATGTGCTTTATAAGAAGTGAGGTAGATAATTAGTAAAACCCCCGTATTTTCTTTTTTAAGATTTTCTTTATTTATTCATGAGAGAGAGAGAGAGAGAGAGAGGGAGGCAGAGGGAGAAGCAGGCTCCCTGCCCCTTGGGACTCGATCCCAGGACCCTGGGATCATGACCTGAGCCGAAGGCAGACGCTTAACCATCTGAGCCACCCAGGCGCCCCAGCTCCCAATTTCTAGTTCATTATTGTTATACTTCCTGTCTCTGAGTTTACATTTTGGTCATGCATAGTTTTCCTGATACCACTTAGTTACCTGTTTTCTCTTCTTCCTCCATGAGCATCTTTATGATGGTTATTAGAATTCTTTGTCAGGCAATTAATTGTTTGTTGACAATAATTCTTAATAACTTAGGGCCAGTTTTGGAGATTTATTTCATTCCTCTGATTGGAACACATACTTCTATTTCTTTGTATGCCTTGTGAACTTCCGTTGATATTTGGGAATTTAAAAAACAGCCGGTGGGCCCAGAATTATGGACTTGTTTTCTTTCGTAATTCTGGGGCCTGTCATGCATGTTCTGGGCATTGGTCTTGTCTGAGTTTTCGTAATTTCCCAGTTTAAGAAAGTGGGATTACTTCTTTAGAATGCATGCTACCTTCCTCTCTGTCTTCAGCTCTGTTGTCTCTTCATTGTTTGAACAAAGGCTCACCCTTTGTCTGAGCAGCCAGCACACTGCATCCAGCGGGTGGTCTCACTCCCTCTGTGTCCCATGTCGTGCAGGACAGAAGCAAGTCCCATAGGCAGCTGAAAAGAATCCAAATCATGACCATATAGGCAACTCCTTTGTTCTCTCCTGAGGAGAGGTAAGGGTTTTCTCACCGTGTTGCCATTGAGCGTCAGGGTAGGTGAGCCACTGTTGTGGGCAAGTGTCACAAACTTTCCTTGTCCCTTTGATGTGGCTCTTCATCACTTGTACTTGCCTGGGGATGCTGTGTTCTCCTAACTGGCTTCTGGAGCACTCTAAAAGGTAATTTAGTCTATTTTTGTCTCCATGGAGGAGCAAAGTCCTGATGCTTCCTATTTCTCCATTCTGTTGCTGTCCTAGGATGCGTATTAATTTTGCACATTAGCATTTTAACATATATGCATGTGAGTTCAGTAAGTGGGATAGCTTATTTTAAATCTTTTAGTTGTGTCTTTCCGTAACACCTTAAGCTTGTTGGTAAAGACAAGCAAAGAAGATTCATTCCATGGAACAATATGGGAAGATGTGGAAGCAATGGTTCTGAGTATTTATACTTAATGACTGGGAAGGTGTTGGGGGGCTAGTGAAGGGCAGGAAGGATGTCATAATGGATATAACCAAACTGGGACAAATACCCATAATGAAATTTTTACTGCCAGAAGAGATAAAGGATATAAAACAATTGGGGGAGAACCCCACCTTAAGTCAGTTATATTTGCAGAACGATGTCTTTGAATGCAAGGACCCAAATCCATTTTTTAAACATACATATTTTCTGAAAGGACATTTGTTAATTTTGGAAAGTCACCTAGCCCATGCTGAAAGTTATCATTCAAACCATTTTTTTTTTTTAAAGATTTTATTTATTTGAGAGAGAAAGAATGAGAGACAGAGAGCATGAGAGGGAGGAGAATCAGGGAGAAGGAGACTCCCTGCTGAGCAGGGAGCCCGATGCGGGACTCGATCCCGGGACTCCAGGACCATGACCTGAGCCGAAGGCAGTCGCTTAACCGACTGAGCCACCCAGGCGGCCTTCATTCAAACCATTTCAAATATAAAATTGGATTAATCAAGCAATCAAATATTTCTGAAATTTAGACAGTTAAAAATGAAAATAAGAATTCTAAATGTGATGTCAACCCTCTGTGATAAAATTTGTTACGTCTCATGGGCTAAAAATTAATGTTTCCCTATGTACATATATGTATGTTTATATGTGTGCGTCCATGAAATACATTATTGAAATCATGTACATTTAGACACGATCGGGTGTGTTCAGGGTGGTATGGCTGTAGACAAAATCATGTACATTTAGATCTTGAAAAATAACACTACTAGTAATAGTGACAAACTCCCTTAGTTTTTTGTTGTTGTTTTTTTTTTAAGATTTTATTTATTTGACAGAGAGAGACACAGCGAGAGAGGGAACACAAGCAGGGGGAGTGGGAGAGGGAGAAGCAGGCTTCCCGCGGAGCAGGGAGCCCGACGCGGGGCTCGATCCCAGGACCCCGGGATCACGACCTGAGCCGAAGGCAGACGCCCAACTGAGCCACCCAGGTGCCCCCAAACTCCTTTAGTTTTAAAGATTATTCAGTAAGATATTTATTTTACCATGCCGGTTGATTGGTTATCACGGATTGTTTTGTTTTCTTTTTTTCAATTTCATCCTCATAGTTTAGTTCTATCTCTAGGAAAATTCCAGTGGCATATATTGAACATTTGTGTTCAATATATGTTCAGTGTTACCAGGAACATTTGGTTTATGTTTAATACTCTAATGGAGTTGTTAGGGCTTGGATATACCACATTTCTGTGTTTTTCCTAACACCCTCCCTATGTTTTTCTTGTGTTTTCCTATATGCATTTTAAGAAAATAATTCTACATTCCCTTCTTTTTTCTGTGAACATTGTATACTCAGTACCATATTGCTTTAGCTAGAAATTAAAGCATGCTTTGAAAATCTGGTCCTTCCTACGTTTAATTTCACCTTGTCAATATATGTACTTTATGACACTTTTCACATACATCTATTTCTTTGCTTTTGAGTATTTTTTTATTTTAATTGTATTTTTTTTTTAAGATTTATTTATTTATTTATTTATTTGAGAGAGAGAGAATGAGAGAGAGCATGAGAGGGAAGAGGGTCAGAGGGAGAAGCAGACCCCCTGTCGAGCAGGGAGCCCGATGCGGGACTCGATCCTGGGACTCCAGGATCATGACCTGAGCCGAAGGCAGTCGCTCAACCAACTGAGCCACCCAGGCGCCCGTATTTTTTTATTTGTAAGATTAGGAGGTCAACATCTTTTTTTTTTTTAAGACCCCATTTCCTAGCAACCCCTGCCCCCAACACAGGGCTCAGACTCACAACCCCTAGGTCAAGACTTGCCTGCTCCACAAACTGAGCCAGACAGGTGCCCCCTGTTGAATATTTTTTAAAGTAAAGTCACATGTACAGAACACAAGTGAACAGCTCCGTGGAGTTTCACAGACTGATCACATATCTGTAAGCCATTGAGGTCAAGAAACGATTTTACTTGTTCTCTAAACTTCCCCTCAAGCTCCCCAGTAACATTCCCCAAAGTTCCCTTAACATGTAGGGCAGGAGATTGCGGTCCTCATTTTGTACTTTATATAAATATAGTCAGGCAATGGGAACTCTTGTATTTAGCCTTTATTCTATCTGTGAATTGATCTGTATTCCTCCATGTTACTGTGCATCCTTCATTAGAATGGACTGATACGATTCCATTGTGTGAATATCAAATGAGTACATCATTCTAGTGTTAATGGGAGGGGGGATAGTTCTTAGTGGAGGACTGTCATGAATAGTACTGGTATGTAAAATCTATAATTTATTGTCTTTTAGTGGAACATGCACACGTCTGCTCGCTATTTATGTGGGAGGATTGTTGGTAAATATGTTTACATAGGTTCAGCTTTACTAGATATGACCAAGCCCTTCCTCAGTCACTTGTACCAACCAGCAGTGTATGGGGTTTCTAGTTTATCCACATACTCTCCAAAATGTGGAATTTATGTGATTTTGACATTGGGCTCCTGTTTGTTATATGACGTCACAAAGTCGTGGTTTTATTTGCTTTTTTTGTTGTTGTTATTTCTTACTACTATGGATTTGGGCATTAACCTTTGGATAATCTCTTTTTCAAAGTGTCTAGTGGGTTACTGTGACTGTTTTTTCTGTTCTGGTATTTTTTTCTTCAGGCTTTGTGGTTCTGTATGTATTATGAGAATGAGTCCTTTGTCTCCTCTCTCACTCTACCTCTGTTTCTATCTCTTGAGCTGTGAAGCAGAGAAGTTCCTAATGTAATCCAGTTTGCCATTTGACCCTTTATGGCTAATG